CATAGGAATGAAGACGGAATTCTTCCATCTCGTTGAGTTGTGTCATTCTTAGGTTAGCAGCTTCGGCTCAGGCAAGATTCAAAATTTTCAATGCCCACATGGCTTTGTGCTCAAGCTCCACTGGCAAGTGACACGCCTTACCAAAAACCAACCGGTATGGTGAGGTGCCAATGGGAGTCTTAAATGCTGTGCGATATGCCCACAATGCATCATCTAGCTTCCTTGACCAGTCAGTCATGTTTGCATTAACAGTTTTTGCTATGATGTTTTTGATTTTCCTGTTGGAAACTTCAACCTGGCCACTCGACTGAGGATGATAAGGAGTGGCCACCTTGTACTTGACTCCATACTTTTCGAGCAGCCCAGTGAAGGCCTCGTTGCAAAAGTGAGAATCACCATCACTAAGTATTTCCCTGGGGGTGCTAAACCGCGTAAATATGTTCTTCTTCAAGAAAGCGGTCACACTATTTGCCTCATTGTTGGGCAAGGTGATTTCCTCGACCCATTTGGAGACATAGTCCACTGCGACCAAGATATATGTCATGCTATAAGAGCTCCCGAAGGGACCCATGAAGTCTATCCCCCACACATCAAAGATCTCGACCTCCATTACAAAGTTCATAGGCATCTCATGTATTCTAGAAATTGACCCTTGTCTTTGACATTGATCATATGCTTTATCTTGGTAGATCGATGGCCAATAGTAGCCACACTCAAGCACTATTGCCGCAGTACGATTTCCACCATGATGGCCCCAAACTGGGGAGTCATAACATGCTTTAAGAATTTGCATTACCTCATCTTCTGGAACACAACGCCGAATGATGTTGTCAGCACAAGTACGGAACAGAAAGGGTTCCTCCCAATAGTATTGCCTACACTCCCGCAAGAACCTTTTATTTTCAAAAGCTTCCAATCCGTCAGGAATAAGGTCACTAACCAAGAAGTTAGCGATGTCGGCATACCAAGGGGCGAAGGTGCTAGACAATGCCATATGTGCTCATATGGAAAGGTATCATTAATTTCAAGATCTTCTTTTGGTCTCCCTGCCTCTTCAAGCCTAGATAGATGATCCGCAACTTGATTCTCTGTCCCTTTCCGATCCTTGACTTCAAAGTCAAACTCTTGTAACAAAAGGACCCACATAATCAATCTTGGTTTAGCATCCTTCTTTGCCATAAGATAGAGAAGAGCAGCATGATCGTTGTAAACTATCACTTTGAACCCCAACAAATAGGCCCGAAATTTTTCAAAGGCATAGACAATGGCAAGTAGTTCTTGCTCAGTCACAGTATAATTCATTTGTGCGCCATTGAGTGTCTTGCTTGCATAGTAGACATGATGAAGGACCTTGTTATGCCGTTGACTAAGTACCGCCCCAATAGCTACACCACTAGCATCCCACATGAGTTCAAATGGAAGGGACCAATCAGGTGTGGCAATAATAGGTGTCGTGATGAGCCTTGCTTTCAATTCCTCAAAAGCTTTGAGACACTTATCATCAAATTCAAACTTTGTATCTTTTTCAAGGAGCTTGCACATGGGATTTGCAATTTTTGAGAAGTCCTTGATAAAACGCCTATAAAAACAGGCATGCCCTAAGAAGCTCCGGACACCTTTTATCTAAGTGGGAGGAGGAAGCTTGGAAATAATTTCGATCTTTGCCCGATCAACCTCTATGCCTTTCTTGGAAATTTTGTGGCCCAGAACAATGCCCCCGTCCACCATGAAGTGGCACTTTTTCCAATTTAGCATAAGGTTGGTTTCCTCACATCTTTTGAGCACTTGTCTAAGGTTGTCGAGGAAATGCTCAAAGGAGTCACCAACTACCGAGAAGTCCTCCATAAAAACCTCTAAGAAATCCTCCACCATGTCCGAGAAGATTGACATCATGCACCGTTGAAAGGTAGCCGGGGCGTTGCATAGCCCAAATGGCATACGGCTAAAGGCAAAGGTTTCATACATGCATGTGAATGTTGTCTTTTCTTGATCTTCTAAGGTGATGTTGATTTGTTTATAGCCAGAATAACCATCGAAGAAGCAATAGAATGACCTTCCAGCTAGCCGATCAAGCATTTGATCAATAAAAGGCATAGGGAAATGGTCCTTGAAAGTAGCACTGTTGAGCTTCCGGTAGTCCATGCAAACTCTCCACCCGGTCACCGTCCTTTTTGGGATGAGCTCATTTTTGTCATTTTGAATCACGGTTATGCCTCCTTTCTTTGGCATACATTGCACTGGACTAACCCAAGGTCTATCGATAATGGGGTAGTGTAACACCCCGAAAAATTTCGAAGTACTTAAGTGTAAAGCCCGATAAAGTTTGCAAAGAAAATAATGTTCATGGTGCCGCGGCTCAGACTTTTTGGGTTGAACAATGCACTGGAAAGTAAAGGAAATTTTTTGACGGAAAAGTGTATTTCTACGGTCCATTATGCGACCGCAGAACCACTCTGCGGACCGCATAATGTACGCAGAGTGAGGCAGTTAATTGGGTCAGTTGGAAGCAACTATGTGATCGACTATGTGACCGCATAACTGTTATGCGGTGCATTATGCGACCGCATAATAGTTATGTGGACCGCATAGTGACCGCATACACATGAAATTCTTTTGGCTATTTTGTAACCAATTATGCGACCGATATGCGGTCCGCATATCGGTTATGAGATCGCATACCTTGTTCCGGAGCTCTATTTTTGGGTTTTTAAAACCCGACCCTATTTCGTTAAATACACTCTTTGGGTCGTTTTTGAGACATAATCTAATATTTTAGAGTGAGAGAGAGTGACCTAGAGTGAGAAAGTGTTCTTCAATAATTTTTCTTCAATTCTTGCTTAAGTTTTGGAAGATTAAGAAGGGAAGCTTACTAGGTCTTCATCCCAGAGGTAAGATTCTATACCCTAAACCCTAATTTCATAATTTTTNTATATATTCAACAAGCATCCTAAATGCTTTATTCATGTTATGTTACCAATTGAGGGTGTGTTAAAATACGGGCTGTGCATTAATAATGTTTCGACTTTAAGTCAAGTTCAAATGAAGGCTATTATGCCAAGTTTTGTGAAATATCTCTATGTGCCTTAGACTCTAAATTGCTCACATGTGTACTACACACCTTGATTTGAATTGTAATTGTTGTTGATGATGATAATGATATTTGAGATTGATAAGGTGAGCATGAAATACTGAATATGGCCAACGTGCCAAGAATGATATTATAATTATGGCCATTAGTGCCAATGAAATGAAAAGATGTGAAAGTAATAGGAAATGAAAAGATGTGAAAGTAATACGAAATGTGATGATTTATTTAAAAAGGTTGATGTCTCAAATAGGACAGCCTAGCCCGTCAGGTCGTGATCAGACACTATGCCGCACACATGGTGGTGATTGTGCTGGAAATTATAATTGCAATGGTAATTGTGGTTGATGTCCCTAATGGATAGCCTAGCCGATCGGGTCGTGATCGGACTCCGTGTTAAAGACGGTGGTATTGATATTGAGAGAAATTATGGTTGATGTCTCTAATGAGATGGCCTAGCCGATCGGGTTGTGATCGGACTCCGTGCTAAGAGTACGGTGGTACCGGTATTGTGAATAATGGTATTGTGGACAATGGTATATCGATACTAAAAATCACCCAATGTGAGATATGGAAATTAATTTGAACACTGTCTTGATCCTAAATTGAGGTTTGATGTTAATTAAGGCTTCCATTGATATTATGATAATCTTATTTGTATTATTTGTTATTCTATTGAGAGGGTGTTTAGTTATACATACTAGTGCTATTCGACAGTACTAACGTCTCTTTTGTCGGGGGTGCTGCATCTTTCAATGGATGCAGGTGGTTCCACAACAGGAGATATTGGTTAGTGATAGCAGTGTACCTTCTTCCCAGCTGACTGGGTGATCCCCACTTCATTCCGGGGTCATGAATCTTTTGTACTTTGTGTATTCTGTTTTAAGTATAGCCGGGGCCTTGTTGCCGGCATTATCATTGTACTCTTCTTTATCTATAGAGGCTCCGTGGACATAGTGTGGGTTGTGTATTGGTGCTGGGAAAGACAAACTATGCTATGTTATGGTTGTATTACTTGTCCATTTGAGACTTTAAAGATGGTGAAATTTATGGTAATAAATTGGTAATTGCAGACATGACCACTTTATTGTTTAATTAAGGAAAACATATATTCTCTTTATTCATGAATGAGTTTGGATAGAAGAAATCTAACAGGCTTGCTTGTTCGGGTTCACTTTGTTGAGCGCCGATCGCGCTCCTCGATTTTGGGGCATGACAGGTAAGACTACCCCAACATCTAACCATTTTATGATTTCTTTTTTCACCACCTCTTGCATGGAAGGGTTCAACCTTCTTTGATGCTCTACACTAGGTTTGCTCTCTTGCTCCAATTGTATCTTGTGCTCACAAATTCTGGCGGGAATCCCTCGGATGTCCGCTATTGTCCACCCAATGGTCTGTATGTGCTCCCTCAAGATATTCAACAAGTGTTCAACGTGCACATCATTCAACAAAGAAGAAATGATTATAGGTAGATTTTCATTAGAGCCAAGAAATTTATACCTTAAGTGCGGTGGAAGTGGCTTGAGCTCAAGTTGTTGCGGCTCGATAATTGAAGGCTTAGTGGGAGGAGTGACTCTATTCTCTAAGTCAAGAGAAAGTTTCTTTGGTGCATAAATGTAGGACCAAGCCCTTCTAATGCATTTACCGATTCCATGTATCCTTCCATGTCTTCACCATCAAAATTTACCAAAATAGCCGCCAATGCCTCACCCAGGCATTCTTCTTCCATCTTCACCTCGACTGCATCCACTACTTTACGAACTATATCAATGACTGAGATACTTTTGTATGCATGTGGAAATTTCATACTCTTACTCGCTTGAAAGGTAACCTCTTCGTCATTAACTCAGAACTTGATCTCATTTCGTTCCGAATCCATAAGTGCTCTTTCGGTAGCAAGGAATGGTCTCCCCTAGATGGTAGGGATTTCTTTATCAATAACACAATCAAGGATAACAAAGTCGGCAGGGAGGAGGAACTTCCCCACTTTCACAAGAACATCATCAACAATTCCTACCGGTCTTTGTATTGAACGGTCGGCCATTTGCAACCTCATACTTGTAGACCTCGGCATACCTAACCCCGCTTGCTTGTAAATATCAAGAGGAATTAAGTTGATGCTAGCCCCATTATCATAAAGAGCTCGTACAAAATTACGCAACCTGATAGTGCATGGTATGGTAAAAGCTCTCGGGTCTTCTTTCTTTTGAACGGTGGTTGTTGCAATGATGAAGCTAACCCGGTGAGTCACATTCACCACTTCATTCTTGGTGGTTTTCTTCTTGGTGATTAAGTCCTTCAAGTACTTAGCAAAACCCGGCATCTCTTGAAATGCTTCCACAAATGGAATGTTCACCGATAATTGCTTGAGAATGTCATAGAATTTCTCGATTTTGCTATCATCAACCTTCCTAGCAAGTCTTTGATGGAAAGGAGGGGGAGGTCTAGGAATTGGTTATAGAGCTTTTGGTGCCTCCTTTACCTTTTCCTTAACCTCTTCACGGTTCACTTCTTGAATTTTCACCTCATTTGGGAGTCTTTCAGCTTCAACAACAATTGGCACCTCAACTTGTGCCTCAACCTCTTGTTCTGGATCTTCCACTTCAACCACTTGTTCATTCTCTCCTTGAAGTATTTTCCCACTTCGAGTTGTGATTGCTATACAATAAGAAGTCGGACCATTCCCATTACCTTTTGGATTTACTATTATGTCACTTGGGAGTGTGCCCTTTTGCTTCGGATTTTGCTCTCTTGATAGATCTCTCATTTGAATTTCTAACTTTTGTATGGATGCGGCGTGAGAACCCACAAGTTCAGTCATGTTCTTCATTGAAGTGTCAGATCTTTCTTGATTTTGCAACACTCTTTCAAGCAAGCTCTCCAATTTGGACTCACTTGAAAACCTTTCCTTCCAATGCGAAGAGTTAGAGTGTTGCCCCTTTGGTGGAACATAGGGGTTTGAACTCCGATTTGAATAGTTATTGTTTTTGTTGTTACTCCAATTATCTTGATTTGAACTACCTTGATCATTTTGCCATTGTTGATGGCCTTGCCCTTGCGGGTTAGACCTCCATTGATTTTGTTTCCCAGGACCTTGGTAGGGTTGTCTTTGGTAACCACCTTGAGCGTTGTTGAAATAATTTGCTTTCTCGTAATCCTCGTTTGACAAGGGTTGCACATCTTCCACAACATTCACTTTTTTTGTTTGGCTTTCAGTAAACATCTAAGTCAACACATTGTTGTTGGTAGCAAGACCAACAATTACTTGATCTCTTTCTTGATTCTCCTTAATCATGTTGGTCAAGGAAGGAGTACCATATGCAATTCCACCCGTAGTGTCTTCCGAGTGCCAAGCTTGGTTATGTTTTGCGATCTTGTCAAGAATTTGTGTGACCCTTGCAAATATTTTATCCATAAAGGATCCATCAGCTGCATTTTTGGCTATGGATTGATCAAAGGATCCAAGACCATGTAAAACTTCTCCAACAAGATGTTGTCCGGAAAACCATGATTCGGTGACCTCACTAAATATAACTTGAATCGATCCCATGCCTCATGTAGATGTTCTCTCGGTAGTTGCTTGAATAAAAATCTTTTATCCCAGAGCTCTGACTTCTTGCTTTGCAGGAACCATTTAGCTAGGAAAGCTCGAACGCGTTCGGGCCAAGTATGAATGGAATTAGGTGGTAGATTTTAGATCCATTTTCTTGCCTCCCCAGTTAGTGAGTACTTGAATACCCTTAGCCTTAGGGCATCATCTGAAACGTAATTCTGCTTGTGCATCGCACACACACCCAAGAAATTTTTGAGATGTTGTGTCGGATTATCATCGGTGGAATTTCTGAAAAACCCCTCTGCTTTGAGCATTAGTATTAGACCGTGTTCCACCTTGAAGGTGGTATCATCAACTATTGGAGGGAAAATGGCATTTGTATCCTCAATATACTCATCTATATCCGCAAAAGGGTTCTTTTCTTCTATCTCGGCCATGTTTACCTAGTAACACCAAGCAAAGCAAGCAAAGTGTGATGGAGTAGAAGAAGACATAATGTAAAGCACATACTAAATAGTAATTTCAAAACCGTATTCCCCGGCAACGGCGCCAAATTTGATACGCACAAATTATGCCTAAATAAATGGTATAAGGTGGTCGATGTCAAATATAATAACCCAACTAGGTTGGGGTCGAATCCCATAGGANATCCAAGAACAAAGCAATAAATGAAGTCATAAAGCTTACAAAGATACAAGATTCTTTCTTCAAAGGCTCCAAAACAATGGTGTATTCAATGCTCTAAAAGTAGCCTCTTTTTCAGATAAGATGTCCCACAAAACCCTAGTAAATCTATTTATAATGGGCCAAAAGTCGGGGTCAAATTTAGACAAAAATGTCCCTATAGAACACATCTGCGACCGTAGAATGGGTCGCAGATCATGTATGCGGTCCGCAAAAATACAAAGTCGCCGCATAATTGCACGCCCAGTTGCCCAGTTCCCCATCGCAGATCCATTATGCGGTTCGCATATTGATTATGCGACTGCAAACTGTGTTGCAAAAGTGCGCTTGCAGAATCTCCTTTTGCACTTATGCGACCACATAATAGACCGCATATTTCTCTCTTCAAGAGCTGGACCACCTGCTTCAGTCTGCGGTTGTTTTGTGGTTCGCACATCACTTCTGCAGTCGCAGACCTGCCGTCTTTCTGCCCTTCTATGGGTTTTTGTCTTCTTTTCGGTGTATTTGGTTTTTCAAGTCTGGTACAGTGCAAAACACCAAAACTTCATAAGAAATAACTAAAATTGCTTTAAAAGATGACCTGATGTCTATGCAATTAGTATCAAAAGTGCCGAAATTCTACGGCACATCATTGAGGCCTCAAATCACATCAAACAACATCAAAAACACGAATCACACTTCAATTCAAACCTAACGAAAACTTAGAAATTCCAACTTCTACAATCGATGCCGAAACTTATCAAATCAACCCCGATTGACCTCAAATTTTGCATACAAGTCATAAGTAACACAACAGACCTATTCTAACTTCCAGAACCAAATTCCAAGCCCCATAACCACAAAGTCAACTCTTGGTTAAACCTCTCAACTCTCCAAACTTTCATTTTTCCAATTTTTGCTAATTCAAGCCAAAATCAACTACGGACCTCCAAATCACTATATGGATACACTCCTAAGTCCAAAATTACCCTACGGAGCTATCAGAACATCTAAACTCCATTTCGGAGTCATTTACATACAGGTTAACACCCGGTCAACCTTTTCAACTTAAGCCTCCAACCTTGGGACTAAGTATCCCAACTCATTCTGAAATATCCCCGTACCCAAACCAACTACCCCGACAAGTCACATATCAAAAATTGAGCGTAGAATAGGCAGTAAAAGGGGGAAATGGGCTACAACACTCAAAACGATCGGCCGTGTCGTTACAAAATTACCCGAAGACCCAAAGGCATCACGGGCGCTATGGACCAAAGCATCTCGCTACTGCCTCGTTAATGGAAAATTATACAGGAGATCATTCTAAGGGCCACTAGCTCGGTGTTTAGGGACCTCAGAGACGGACTATGTGATGAGAGAAGTCCATGAAAGAGTTTATGGAAACCATTCCGGTGCAGACTCGTTAATTCTAAAATTAGTTAGGGCTGGCTATTACTGGCCCCAGATGGAATAGTACGCAAGGGCATATGTACAAAAGTGCGACAAATGTCAACGTCATGCACAATTAGTGCATCAACCAGCAGAACCTTTGCATTCGGTGGTGTCGCCGTAGTCATTCATGAAATGGGGATGGACATAGTTGGTCCTTTACCACCTGGACCCAGGAAGGTAAGATTCCTTTTAGTTTTAACTGATTGCTTCACTAAATTGGTTTGTCGTGCCCCATTTTCTCGTGAAAGCGGGCTTCGATATGTGACAACTCTTTTAAAGTGGGTATAATAAGAAAAGAATCGCCACCTAACGGTTTAAGATGCGTTAGGGCACCTTTTTGCATATAACTCCATTTTAACTAGTATGGTTACCAATGATCGGGTAAAGGCTTAAATTACCTCAATGAGAATGTGTTAGGCACTCTTCGAGGTCCACAACTATAGGTCCCGGCCGAAATTTACACTATGTGGATTAGATGATTAAGCTAAAGGATAAGTAAAGAAAGGTATAGAAGTTAAGGGATCTATTATAACACATAAGAATAAATGATCGGTACAAATCTTAAAGGTTACAAGGGTACAACTGCAATGGTCTATGTTAAATGACTAAGTGTGAATAGCAAGTATATAAAGAAAAGGGGGGTCCTAAGTTTCTTAGCCTAAAGGATCACCCCGTGCAACATAAATAATACTTCGCAACTCCCTTAAGGTAGGGGTTGATCATATTATTCGCCGGGCACAAACTATCATCTCCTGCTACCCAATTACTATGTTGAAGTTGTTACTTAAAGGCGCTCTAATTCAATTCTAAATCGTATCCTACGCGTGCACTACCCGTCCCATGCCTATGGTCCAGGAGGCTTTGGACCTACTATTAGGTAGTTCTAGACTCAGCTTAGGTTTTTCAAAATGATAAAACTAGGCGACATTCAAAACAGATAGGACTTCACATAAAGACAATTAAAGGCCCAAGTTAGCCTCCACACACAAACAACAAATGCACGCGGGCAGCTTAGGCATTACATAGTTTTAGAATTAAGACTTAAAGTCCTATAGGCATGGTTTCTAGGTGATTCTGAATTCCAGCATCGTATATGTAACGTTATTGTTCTATCTAAATGATTTAGACAAAGAGACAGTAAGTTGTTTGCAAACTCAGGATTATTAGCGCTGATTTTATAAATAGGAATCTTAGGCAGGCGACACTGTCCTATAGACATGATTTCTATAGTTGCATAATTAGGCAGTGAAACAGCTTTGAGAGTCCAACATTAACGACGTTGATCTTATAAACAGCTCTTATGCGAGTGACAACATCATGTAGGTAGGATTTCTAACAATTGACAATTAGACTTGATTTTTATAACACTTTATTCATATAGGCATGCCATCTAGGAGGGGCAGTGTAATGAGAAAAACGGAAGTAGTTGATTAAAAGATTAGGATCCTATAGTCATGATATCTGGATGAGCAGTACACTAAAAGTAATAGAAGCAATTGATAAATTGATTGTTTGAAGTCCTATAAGCATGGTATCTAGGTTAACAAAGCATATGTTATACATCCTATAAGCATGGTGTCTATATGCACAGTAGTAACATAGAAACGTGCTTGAATAGTGTACAAGTGAGGTTTGCGTGATTCCTATAGGCGTGA